GGGTCTGGGGACGATGTTTTGGAAATGGCTTGTCTTGGAGGGTCCAGACCCCCTCCCTTTTATTACGAAATCTGGAGTACTTTTCCGTGCCCATTTCCATCGTCCCCATTTAAAAGGTTCCAACAGGGCCCCGTCCTTGAACCGCAGGGCATCGCTGGGCACCCGCGAGGCGCGACCTCGCATGCCGGCCTCGGCAGCGGGCGCTCCGCAGGGGACCGGTGTGCCCAGGGGGGGCCCGGTGCGTGCCGGGGCCGCGGGAGGCAAGGGGGTGAGGGAAGAGTGCGAGGGGGGTGGGAGGAGGGTGGGGGAATGAGGGGGGTGGGAGGGGGGGAGGGGGAACCAGAGGTGGGTTTAAGAGGGGGTGCTCTAAGGCTCGATGGCGGGTTTGGTGGCATCCGAGGTTCGATGGGGAGGAGGAGGGAGGAGGAGGAGGAGGAGGAGGAGGAGGAGGAGGAGGAGGAGGAGGAGGAGGAGGAGGAGGAGGAGGAGGGAGTGAGAGGCAGTGGGAGGATGAGGAGTAGGGGAAGGAGGACGAGAGGGAGGTTCACATTTTATGGTGGTGATGGTGACGACGGCCATGCTCGGGACCGAGCTCGGCTCGGGCGCCGCGCACGTCGAAGGCGCGAAAGGAGCGAAGATATGGCCAAACGCCCCAGAGGAGCATCGCGGCCAGGGTTCAAGGGAGCCAAGGACACACAAATACATGCACACAAATAAAAGGATTCCCCATACTTTCCTATATTTTCCGGGTTTCTGTCTTCCCCCCACTTCCCATATTTTCCCATATTTTCTGGGGAATCGGGAATTAATTGTGTCTGTGTGTTTCTTTTCCTCCTGAAGGGTGTCATCTCCGCGCCTCAGTGGAGGCGACACCACACATTGCACTCGAACGCAGACTGACCACGCGAGCATGCGCCTCGCCAGAGCCTCATCGCCGACGACGAGGACACGATGGGCAGGAATCGCAAGAAAAGCCTACAATAGCCGTTCCAAACGGAACACTGCAAGGGGTCAGGGGTGCGATGGGGAGGAAGGGGAGGACAACTAATGATACGAAGAATGCTAAAAGCACTCCGCAGGGGCTAGGTTCGTCCCACGAGACGTTCGAAGACCCAGAGGATATCCTCAAGAAGGTGATCCAATAAACCTGGGACACTAACCCCAAGGCTGCACCAAATTCAGGTGCACTGACTGGGGGTGGAGGAGAGGCAAGGGAGGAATAAGAAGGAGGAGGAAGGATGGGGGAGGGGGGAAGGGGAAGAAACGAGGGGGGAGGAGAACGAGGAGAAGGAGGCGAGCATGAGGAGCAGCGGGGTGAGTGAGGAAGATGTTTTGGGCTTCTTGAAGTTTCTATAGGTTCTGTGGAATCGAGGGGGTTCGAGGGGGAAGAGGGAGGATGGGGAGGAAGATGAAATATGAGGGAGGAGGGGGAGGATGAGGAGGAGGATGTAAGGGGGATGAAGGGGGATGTTGGGGACTGTGGAGGGAAGGGAGGACTGAGAAGGGGTAATAACAACTGGAATGAGTGGAGGGGGTGGGCTCTCAAAATGGAGAGGCAACCTTTTCACTGTATCCGTCAAATTGCCTCTTGAGAGTGCTGCTGGTAAATCAACGGCGTAACTAAGTGAACCAAGAACGGCAACAAAGACGGAAACACACACACAGACATATGACAACGAACGCAACATTCGGCGTTGGCGGAATGGGAGCAACCAGAGGAGCGGCGAGGGACGGACGCTCGGGGCTGGTTCAAAAAAGGTACGGGACAAACAACGCCAACCGATCAACACAAATGGCAACCAACATATTTCAGAACGGCAAGAAGCATGCGATCGAGAACCGTATACAACATGCTTGCCAACGTGGGCCAGAAACCGTGAGTGATTCACCCAGGATGCGTACTGTCTGTGGCCCGCACTGTCTGCGGTGCCACCTGCGTGGTCTCTGGCAGTGGCGTGCGGGCTGTGCGGTGCAAGCTGTGTGCTGCTGGCCGTGTGCAGTGCTGTCTCTGCAGCGCTGTCAGACTCTGGTGCAAGCTGACCCAGAGGTCCGACGTCGTGATTTTTCCATGCGGGGTCCCTGGAGGTCCCGAGTCGGTTTTCGACGGTCCTGGGGCCCGGCGAGGGCTCCCAGAGGCAGAAAAAGCCAGACAACACCCGCCTTTATTTTGCCAGTGCAGTCGGGGCGTTGACCTAAGGAACGAAAAATAAGGAACGAGGCCCCTTTTTCCCATACATTAAACTCCGATTTTCCATGGAAAACCTCAGGCAAACCCAAGGAGCACTGTAAAGCAACGAAGGAACACGGAGCCCCTCCCCAACAAAACAGGTTCCTTCTTCAGGGCCCCGACTGTACGTTGGACCTCTGTGGGGAGGTGCATGCCGTGTGGCGCACGCAGTGGCAGTGTGGTGCAGTCGGTGCGGCGCAGCCTGTGCGGCACGGCCTGCGGCCGACCCCCCCGCTGGCCATCGCTCGGACGTCCATTCCCTGTGTTTCTTTC